CGAGAGGAGACTGAGGTGATCTTAGGATCTTGCCCAGCCATTTCCTGAAGGAAACAGGTATCATCTTCAACAACATGGCTGGAGGACCTGCTGTAGCACCCCTTTCATCATCTTCCCAGACTTAAAAGGATGGTTTAGGACTGAACACTCATGTGCCGTCTCCTAAGAATTCTACTGGTCTTCCCCTTTCCAGTGATAAAATTACCACTTGGAACTTTCTAGGCAGTCTTGATCTGCATTTTTTACCTCTGTAGTACTGTTCATATTTATAGTCTTGAAATAAAATTCCAGACAGATGTGTTATGATCTACTTAACGTTAGAAGGTGTGAATTACTGTGTAGACTGTTTTCCAATCCTCTCTCTCGTGTATTCTGGGCTAGGCAGTAATTGTGCAGCAATATAGCCACTAGGTGGCGATGACATTCCACGTTAACGTTGCGTCGCCTTTTAAAGAATTTATTAATTCTCTTTTCTCGGTGTGAAACACAGCACAGTGGCATTAAGGCAGGGGTCCCCTGTAAGTTTTCATTATTAACATAACTGGACCAGTTTAATAGCTTCTCCCAGATCTTCGGGAGCTTCTGCTTTAAAGAGACCAGGAACAGGCAAAGGTTTATTCCATGCTGAAAAGAAAAGACACAACATTTTGGCTGTGTATCCTTCTGCAGGTGTGAAGGCATGTTGACACCTTTGCCTGCTCCTTTGCAGCCTGTGCATTGCTGATGTAGCTCCCTACTGGAACTCCTTATCCCTGCAGGACTGGGATAGGGAACCCCAGGTTTAAGGGAATTAAGGATAGAATTATCTTATTTATGGATGCAGTCAGTTAGACTGAAAATCTCATAGCATATCTCTGTGAAAAACTTTTGTGTGTAAATCCTGAGCCCTGTGTCACTGCACTGTCTCCTCTTACTGCGTGTTTTTCTTGTTTTTTCATTTGGTTATACCTTCAAGTACGAAGGAAAGAAGCAAAAATGATCTAATTGTCCAATCTAGATGAGAATATCCCAAAGCGATGCGCTTGTCCAGTTTTCCCCCCACTCAGCAGTGCCAAGTCTGCTGGTGTGAACTGGAGTTTCTGATCTGCGGCGCGTGTTTGAGACTCACCAGCGAGGTGTGGCACCAGTCGATGCGGTTGTGCGAACTGAGCCAGACGGAACAAGGAGCTGGGTCTTCCCCCAGTGTGCAGAGCTCCTGGTGCCTGGAGGTCTGGATCTCCTTCAGACACTCTGGAAAGGCCCTGTCGGAGCCCAGCTTGACGTACACCCTGAACCACAAGAGATGCACACTTGATCCCAGGCCTCACGGCTAGCGCCACACTGGGACCGAGGTTGTCTTTGAGGGCAGGGCGAGGGGTAGTACAGTGTCAGGGTTGGTCTTTACAGGGCGGAAGTTGGAAACTGTGCTGGTGTGTCACAGAGTGGGCCCACCCAAGGGAAAACTTGGCACCTAGCAGTCATTTAATTCCGCAATCGAACGCATACCTGAGAATTCTCCACCTTGTTCAGCCAGCTAAAGCCAATTCAGTTAAGTCTTCAGCTAAACAAGTGAAGACTCTTCTGGTTTTTTTTGGGACAAAAACCAGAAGAGATGAGAATCTTATCAGAACAAGGATTGAAAACCACTGATGTACGTAGTGGAGGTAATGAGATTGTGAAAGCGAACACTGAGTTTATAACATTTCCTATACCATTACTTACACTGCGCGATTCACCGGAGTCAGGCAACGGGACCAGTTTGCTTTGCTGATTATACTGTGGGCACTAAGGCTCATACCAGCCAGGGCAGCTGCAGTGAAGAGTGATGGAGGGCACAGGAGCCATGTGGAAATTATAATGCAGTCCTGGTTTTGACCCCAGAAAGGTAACCCGTTCCCTTTTCATTTTAAAGGTATGCGTTAGCGCGCCTCGCCAACCCCTGTTCAAGCTGATATCTCTAAGCTGAGTGGAAATGCATTTAATCAGGAACGCCTCCCAGGGTTGTGTGGTGTAAGAGGAAGCGTGTCCGCGTGACTCACTGGAAGGTGAATATTAATTCATTGTGTAGGCTGTGTTTCCGAGCTGGGTGTTAGTGCAGCACGGGGGG